TAATTTGCAAGGGAGGCTTCCGTTTGGAATGCAGCAATCATAGAGGCATCAGTCTGATCTCAAGTACCTCTAAATTGATTGCGTTTGTCATTCTCCACAAACTGACTGGCACTCGTGACAGCCAGATTCGTGAAGAACAAGCCGGATTTCGTCGAGGTCGGGACTACATCGACCACATCTTCATCTTGCGTCAAGTGTTGAAGCACCGCCATGTTTATTGGCGACCCACCGTTGTCGTGTTTCTTGACATAAAAGGTGCCTTCGACTCAGTCGATCGATGTGCCTCTTGGGACTGTCTGTTGAGGAAAGGTGTGCCTGATAAATACGTAAACATTATTTGCTAATGCGCTGTATGCGCATAGTTCGGGCAGGGTGAGGGTTTATGGCAAACTGTCGCCATCCTTCAGTATCACCAGTGGGGTGAGACATGGTTGTCCGCTGTCTCCTTTCCTATTTAACTTCGCGGTTGACGAAGTTATGGAAACATCGTTCGCTGGACACGACCTAGAAGGTGTGGAGCTACTTCCTGGTGAGCGACTTCTTGACTTGGAGTACGCGGACGATATTGCCCTAATCTGTGACTGGTCCCAAACATGCCAAGCAGCCCTGGACCGATTAGCACTGGTTGTCAATCGTTTTGCGCTATGCATTGCTCCATCGAGATGCAAAGTACTTCTCCAAGATTGTCAGGGACTCACCCATGTACTAACGCTTTGTGGTGATCTGCTAGAAGTCGTTCAGGAATTCAAGTACCTGGGCAGCTATATCAGCGCCCATGGCATCGCAAATGCGGTTACGAACCGTATAGCAAAAACTTGAGGTGCATTTCCCAATCTCCGCCACCTGTGGTGCAGACGCGACATTACTCTCACTCTGAAGGGTAGAGTTTATAATGCAGCCGTCCGTTCAACCCTACTATATGGTTGTGAAACCTGGCCCATTAAGTCGACAGACATAAAGAGGCTCGTCACATTCGGTCATCACTGCCTTCACAGCTTAGCTCATGTCTGGTGAGAACACCGCTTGAGCAATGATCGTGTTCGGCTTCGTGTATTTTGTGCAGGAAGAGCGAGTGAACCTCTCAGCTCCATTATATCACTCACCAGACTCCGATGGCTGGGTCACGTGTTGCGCATGCCAGTACACCGACTCCCGCGACATGCAATGTTTGCGCGTTGTGGGTGCGGTTGGAAAGGGAGGAGGGGAGGTCAAAGGATGACTTGGTCGAGAGAACTGAAATCCTTCACTTCGCAACTGGCGTCGGTTGGTGCATCCCAACTGTCTGGCTGGGGTCTAAGGACGTTAAACACGTTTGCTTGGACACACTTGCTGATATGGCTAGGAGCCGGCCCCAATGGCGTTTGTGTTGTGAGTTTCTTTGCCTATCCCCTCCCTTTAGGTTCCCCCTCCAATCCCGATCTCATACGAACGCATAAAATAATATTTTACATCGTATTTTTATAGTGTTATTTGGAGTGTAATCTTTTAGTCTCTTATCTTTTTTATTGCAGCACATTAGATGAGGTGTGTTTCTCACCCTCAGCTAACGTGTACTGATGATGATGATGGTGATGATGATGTTAATGGTGATGATGATGATGATGATGATGATGATGATGATGATGATGGTGGTGGTGGTGGTGGTGATGATGATGATAATGATGATGATGGTGGTGGTGGTGGTGGTGATGATGATGATGATGACGATGATGATGAGAACTGACAACTGGGAACTGGTGCGAAACAGCGAGTAGAGGTTGCTCTGTGTAGCTGCATCATTCGTCGTTTTCGGACATGAACTCTTTATTTATCGTTTCACTCTCTGTACTTTGCCTCTGCAAATTGTTGGTCTAGTAGCATCTTGAATTGAGACACTGTGTTGGCTTCTACTATATGCTGAGGCAGGTCGTTCTAGACATTCACCACTCTGCGTTCGAAACAGAGTTGATGGGCGACCCGCTTCAAATCCGGGACGATAAGTTTATACCGGTGTCCTCGCTTGCAGCTTGGTGTGCGCAGATGAAGTAGTTGTCTCAACATGGGGTGATCACCCAGATGTAATATCCGGTGCGTCATGATGAGGTCAACTCTCAGCCGACGATAAGATAGGGTGTATAATCCTAGTTTCTTACATCGGTCTTCATATGGCATACCTCGTAAGTTGGGAATCAGCCTGGTGGCTACATGCCGCACCCGCTCAAGCTTTTCTACTTCGCCCCGGATGATGGGACAATACGCGGGAGTGCCGTACTCTAGCATTGGTCGTATTATCGAGACGAAGAGGCGAGTGGCAATCTCTTCGGACCAAGTGCTGAAGCTGCGCCTGAGGGCCCAAAGCATCCGAAGGCTGTTTTGGTACAGCCTATTCGTGTTGTTAATGGATTTTAGGTCGCAGCGTGAGAGCACACCGAGGTCGCGCACGAAAGGAGCGGGAGGCAACGGTTGACCAGCCACTGTGTACGTTCGGCCGTGATCACACTTACCCAACCTCATTAATTGCGACTTGGCAGGGTTGATCGGAAGGTTAACCTCTGCAGACCATGTCGAGAGGCGGTCGAGATCCTGCTGAAGTAAATCGCAATCATTGAGTGTGCGGATTACTCTCCACACTTTCAAGTCGTCTGCGAACAAAGCACAATGTGATTGTAGTAGCTGAGGCACATCGTTTATATGGATTAGAAACAATATCGGTCCCAGTACAGTGCCTTGGGGCACGCCGCTGCTCGATGGATACCACTCAGTTAGATGGTTGTCCATCTGGACTCTCCACCTCCGATCCACAAGGAAATTTCTGATCCATTTGTGCAGCGAACCACCAACACCGCACATCCTCAGTCTGTCAAGGAGCACTGCATGGTTAACCTTGTCAAAAGCCTTACTGAAGTCAATGTGAATGACGTCAACCGATTGGCCTTTGTTCAGCGCTTGTAACCATTCGTGCCTCGTCAACAGTAGGTTTGTGATGCACGAACGACCTTTCAGGAAACCATGCTGTGCGGAGGTCAACAGGTTTTTCGACTCGAGAAGCTGCAGTAGGCTCTTCTTCACGATCTTCTCTAGCGTCTTTGCCAAAACTGCCGTTAGGCAGATCGGCCGGTAGTTATCCACTTTGCTTGGGTTACCACCTTTCGGGATAGGCTTTACGACTGAGCATTTCCAGTCATCCGGTAGTAGACCAGATGATGATGATGATGATGATGATGATGATAATCAGGATAATGATGGCGATGATGATGATGATAATCAGGATAATGATGATGATGATGCGCACCTGCCTTCAGCCCCCAGTCCGGCAGTTGGGGGACACACACCTTCGCCAACTTTGAAGTAAGAGTTTTAATTCCTCTCAACCAATTCATCACTTAGCGTCCCCTCTCGCATCCACACCCCGATCGTGCAAACAGCTCCCTACGCGGGAGTCTGAGTGCTATCATCAGCAAACGTGGCCAAGCCATCGGAGCCCGGTGAATAATATAATGGTGTTAAGTGCTTCGGTCACTCTTCCTGCACCAAATACGCGACGCCGAACATGTTTGTTGCTCACGCGTTGATTACGAAATCTGTCCTTAAGAAACTGAACTGACTAAATCGTATAACCTTATCGAGCCTCACCTGTTACCATTGCAGCGTCTGTTCTCTGGATACGTTGACACGAACCAGTGTGTTCGCTTACGAAACACACGAGATATTCATGAATATAACAAGAGCACGTTTTATAAGAAGGAGCACAGAACAGAATGAGACCATGTATTACACTATACATGTCAGCTGCAGTTGGAAAACACCTCAGCTGTTTTGCCGCAATGCAAAAGAAAAGAAAAATTGCATGAAGCACGCCGGCCATCACCGGTAACGGTAACACATCGTTCCGGATGGTTAACAGCCGGCTATTGTGCCGCAAAAAAGTGGTATCTTATGCCTAATAAATGGTATAGTGGTTGGAGGCGGAGGTTAAGCGGGTGGGGAGAGAGAAAGAATCTCACAACGCAAACGCCATTGACGTGGTCTCTTAGCCATGTCAACAAGTGTATCCAGCAGCAGTATATCAGCAGATTCCGCCGCGTTCTCAGCACCGAAGAACATAGCTCCTGTCGACGTTCAGTGCATCTGACGCTGCTCATAGCAATTGTTTCAGAGTCTCTCTGAACTACACTAACCCCTACCGACTGGAATTCTCGTTTTTTCTTCCGGGTTTGCCGTTTCGCAATAACATTAACTGATAGTACATGTGTAAACTCGGTGCTCCTATGACTAGCGAATTTTTGCCATTACCGTTCTTAAATATTGCGACTACCATCGATTCGCCCAGTTGAGAGTACTGTTTGTACTTCATCCTGAGTAATTTAGAATCGAGTCTTTGGTGACAGCATAGCAATAGAAAGGCGCCTTCCGAACTTTACAAATATCACCCTTCACTAGATTCATTTGTGCGCATTACATACAACGTCGATGCTGAATGCGTTATCGATGCTATAAATGCCCTTGGTCACCGACAATTTATAACCGTCCACATGCCTAAAATAGACATTGGAGTCTGAGAACTTGAGAGTTTGTCACCACACACACATGTCATGTAAGAGCAAGTTCTTTCGTTCATAAGACCAACTAAGAATACTACATGTCGAACTCTCTTATGTTTGGGATTGGAGTTAGACGTGCGGATAGAAGAGGCTGAGTGACTAAAGACAGCTCTTTTTAGTTATAGCGCTGTGGAGATAGAGGACGATGGAGAGAAATTCAAGCTACCTGACGGTCACTCATTTCAGTGTACGAATTTTTTTCTATGATTTCCTTTATCATCCCCAACTCATCGTTCGATTCTTATCTGCGTCCTTATTGTGAGCTGCCCATAAGCTGATATTTCCTTCTGTGCATGTTTTATTGTGTTTTCGGTTCTGGCATTTCATACTAAACCGTTTACCCTGCGTCGTTTCAACGAAACGCTGGATCCGAGCCAGTGTTCGAGTGATAATGTGTAAATTTCTTGTCTGTTATTTCAGTGATTGCTATGTCAAAGTTCACGGCAGATGGCGTCGAAAGAAAATTATCAGCCCAAAACAAGGCCTCAGCTTCCATTGGTGAGCTGCCATTTTGTCTATTTCTACTGAGTCGCGTCAATCTGTTACTGTTAACATTGTTTTACTTGTCTGCAACGCTGGTCGCGAACCTAATCGGACGTTTTCCCGTGGCCAAAAAGGAAACTTTTTTCCGTTGTTGAAATGTTCACCTAGATTGACAATTTGGTTGCTAAGGCTTCATAATCCATTGACTAATGATGGATCTTTTTCGGCCAAAGTGCCAATCCAGATGCACACCTCTATGACCAAGCAACTTACTCTAGGTACCGATCTGTCGAATTACTCCTGCATATTTCCTTATTTGACATACATTCATTCTAGCCTGATATCCAGTAACATGTGTAATGCTCCTTCACAGGTGTCTCCGGTGCTTTTCTTGTGTTTACTTTTCTGGTTGTTTTTGCTTTTTTTCCGTTGTACCTCATGATGTTCACAATTTTACATGGCTCCTGTATCCTGGCTTTAACCTACAGTTCAGGTCTAGATCTTCTTCAACCAGTATGTTCTTTACGCGGACTGTTCCGTTAAACCGTGCGTCTTACTGGTTTCGTTTTAATTTTCCTGTTACTTTTCTTGCGTTATAATCACCTTCATCCCTTTCCGTATGTGAATCCACTCTCCTAGGTGCTGGTGCAGTGGATGAAGATGTGTTCCGGTCATCTTTTATTCCTTCTACCACAGTTGCAGTGAGTTTTGCCATTTATAGATTGCCTGCTTCATGATACAGCTGTCTTCACCTAGGGAACTGTTTGACGTCATGGGTAGAATAAAGGACAACCTATCCGCTAATCCAGAGGAGTGGGAGAAACGTGTTGATGCGGTGCGTTACCACAAGGATGCTCGCATGAATACTTTCCTTTGTTGTGTTGTCCTCTCGCCATTTATACTCGCTCATCTTTCCAATCATTTCTAGTTGAGAACATTACGTGCTGTGGTAGCTAATGGTGGTTTGCGATTCGAGGAGTTTGTGCCGTCATTAAAGTCCCTGGAGCAGCCTATTGATTGTTGTCTACGTGACTTACGTTCGTCAGTTGTTCGTGAAACGTGCATCACTGTGGCGTAAGTGTTTTTCATTTACTGTTGGTATTCAGTTTTGTGGAAACCGATTTCTATTTTGTTACACTTTATTTCTTTCGTATTTACCAAGATCCCTCACTTTATGCATGACCCCAACGTGTGAAAAACTGGGTGTAAGGTTTCTTAACTTCAACAAATTTTCGTTATCCTATCCTTATTGAACTTTGCTGCTCATCTTTCTCCAACTTTCTACTCAAGAGAATTTAAGCGTCACTTGAAGATACTTGCTTGGTCCGTTTCCAACTGGTAGTCCGATCTCAGTGGTTGTTGTTGCTGTTCCTTTCAGTACCATGTGTCAGCTGTACGCCGTAACGGCGCTTCGCTGCCGCGCGACCACTACCAGCGGCGCGCAGGCTGAGTATACCGCGATGACGCCCACCCCTACGCGGATTCGAACCGATGACCTTATGCTTGCAAACCAAACGCGCAGGCCGCTCAGCCCACCGGCCAACTTGGGGGGCTATAGTTTTCTTTTATACTCTCATCTCTGTGTACCGAATGTCAGTCTACATCTCATCTACCTACTTATGTGCACATTGACGTGCACACGCCAACGGCCAATGTTCCTTCCACAAACTTCTTAGACGACTCTGTTCCTGTAACTGCGCAAGTCGATGTCCACTTGTTACACCTCGGATGTATATACTTGCGTTCATATTCCAGTGACGCAGAGATTGACGCATTACAAGATCTGTTCTGTTGTTCTGCTATATGACTATAGCAGACCAACCGGCCAAGTACAAGCTAATTGGTGGGCGTTACAACATGTCGGATTTAGCATGGATCTCTAGCCATGTACATGCCAACTATACGAACCTGATCTCTACATTCGTACGGTTATATCTAACATATCAGATCTCCAGCTAAAAGGAATCATATCTTAAACATACTATTCACCATTGACATATTATCAACATCCACTGCTACTCTAGAACACTTTCCTGTTAGTGATCACAGAATGGTATCATTTTCATCCACTGATGTCACATGACACCAAAGATTGACTCCGCCTGAATCACAAATGCACGCCCGCCGATATAAGCCCACCGACTGGGACCTTTTACCAAGTTACTGTGGTCTGCTCAATGGGGCAGCTTTTTCCTCATTGGGGACTCAAAAGCTCCACCAGGTGTTCTCTGCAGCAACATTAAAATATGTATTAACACACTTGTTTCCACTTAGCATCGACATTTTCCTCATACCAACAAAGAGCCTGTGTCAAGTAAACCAGCAAGAAAGCTCAAAACTTGCTGAGGGCATACTGCAATACAAATGACTTATCCTTCTTGGCATCACATCAAAAGCTGCTCACAACTATACAGCCGGCATGCTACACCACACAGATCGGTGAGGAAAAGCGAGCCCACATCTGACGGTATAAAACCGTCGGCTGGTGGCCGAGTGGTCTGCACGCCTGACTTGCAATCATAAGGACACCGGTTCGAATCCGCAGAGGGGTGGACGTTCTTGTGGTATACTCAGCCCGCGCGCGACTGATGGTGGTCGCGCGGCAGGAAAGCGCGGTTACGGTGTACAGCTAACACACTTTAATTTTTAATCAGTTTTTTCAAGTACTGGAATATTAAATGGAATCAAGCCACTATCTTACCGGTTGCAACGGATAACTGCATAACAACTGACCCTGCCCACACTAGTGATATATTTGGTCCATATTTCTGCGCCTCTTCCAATGTGGTCAATGACCATCCGAGGTTGGAAATCTTACTAGCCACAGTTGATCGATTCACCCAAGTCAAGTTTGAGCTCCGTAACGTACAAAACTTACGAAATGCACGAAATTACCTTACTTTGGTGGACCAGGTAATGTATCTCCCGCAGTTCTCAAACTCGGGGTGCCGACATACCCCTGCTACTACCGAATATCTCCATTATATCCATGAACTCTGGTACAGTGCCAATCCTGGGGAAGGAAGCCATTATTATATCACGATGTAAGTCGGTATCCCTGTTCAAAACAAACTATTGCCTAACATATCGCACATTTATCCTATCAAAATTGATGGCATCATCATCCACGTTAGCTAGAGGTGGGGAACACCTCAGCTACTGTGCCGCAATACATGAGAAAAGGAGAGAAAAAAAGGAACTGGTGCAAGCTGGCTGAGCTACCGGTAACGGATGGGCATCGTTCCGGTAAGCTACCAGCCGGCTGCTGTGCATCAAAAAATATTATTATGCAAAATTATATAAGGCTTAATAATGAGATCGTGGTTGGAGGGGGAGGCTAAGAGGGATGGGATGTTCAAAGAAACTCACAGCACAAACGCCACTGAGGTCGGCTCCTAGCCATATCAGCAAGTGTGTCCAACCAAACGTGTTCATGGTCTTTCGGACCCCAACCAGGGAGCCGAGACGCTCCAACCGAGGCCAGCTCAGAAGTGAGGGCCTTCATTCCTCTGGACCAATTCATCGCTTGGCCACCCCTCCTCTTCTTCCATCCACACTCCCGGCGCGCAAACAACACACGTCGCGGGTGTCGGTTGGCTGGCATGCGTAACACGTGGCCGAGCCATCGGAGCCTGGTGCGTGGAATAACGGTGCTGAGCGGTTCAGTTCTTTTTCCTGTGCCGTAAACAAGGCGTCGAACACGCTCGTTGCTCATGCGGTGTTCCCACCAGATGTGAGCGAAATTACGAAGGCACCGGTGGTCGAACGTAACTAGCCTCTTGAGGTCCGCTGCTTTAAGCGGCCAGGTTTCGCAACTGTACAGTAGGGTCGGACGTACTGCTGCATTATACACTCTACCCTTCAGGGTGAGAGTGATGTCGCGCCGGCGCCATAAGTGGCGAAGGTTAGCAAAAGCGCCCCGAGCTTTTGCTATGCGGTTCGTGATCTCATCTTCAGTGCCACGGGCGCTGGTACAATTTTCCAGGTAGTTGAATATTTGAACGACTTCTAGCTGATCCTCACTAAGCTTCAGCGTAGGAGGCGGTCCAGACCAATCTTGGAGGAACTCTTTTCACTTCGAGGGTGCGAATCAAAGCCCGAAGTGACGGACAGCCAGCGCTAATCTGTCCAATGCCGCTTGGCCCGTCTGGGAGCTGTCACAGATGAGGGCAATATCATCAGCATACTCTAAATCAAGAAGTCGTTTGCCTGGGAGTAGCTCCACACCTTCTAAGTCATGTCCTGTAAACGCGATTTCCATGACTTCGTCAATAGCGAAGTTGAAGAGGAAAGGTGACAGCGGGCATCCTTGTCTCACGCCGCTGGAGATATTAAAGGGCGAAGACAACTTGCCGTAAGCCCTCACTCTGCCCGAGCTACGCGCATATAATGCTCGGACAATATTCACATATTTCTCAGGTACACCTTTCCTGAGTAGACCGTCCCAAAGTGCATGTCTATTCACCGAATCGAATGCACCTTTGATATCGAGGAACACGACAACGGTGGGCCGCCAATATATGTGACGGTGCTCCAGCGACTGACGCAAGGTGAAGATGTGGTCAATGCAGCCACGACCTCGACGAAATCCAGCTTGATCTTCTCGAATCTGGCTTTCACGAGTGCCAGTCAGTCTGTGAAGGATGACAGAGGCAAGCAATTTGGAGGCGATGGATTTCAGACTGATTCCTCTATGGCTGCCGCATTCCGATCGTGAGCCTCCCTTGAAAATTGGGACTATGACGGAGCGGCTCCAATCGGTTGGGACAGTTTCCTGCTCCCACAGTCTCACTAGTAACTCGTGTAAATCATCTACTAGAGCTGGTCCCCCGAATTTGAAGTGAGCTGGAGGAAGGTCATCAGGTCCCGCGGCTTTATTTAACTTCAACAGTTTGATCTCATGTTCGACTTCTGAGCGCGAGGTTGGATCCAAAGGGACAGCCCAGGGAGCAAGGCGCTCAGTGGCCGGCGAGAAATCTAACAATTCCGATCGATTAGTTTGCCTTTTAAAGTGCTCATCCCAGCGCCCTAAGCGTTTTGATAGGTTGTGGATAGGCTGTCCACTCTTGTCAATTATGGTTTCACTAACACCAGATCACAAAATTGATGGCGCGACCTGTCAAAAACTGTGAGTGGTAGAATAGACAAAAAAAGTGCGTTTGTTGTTGATCTTTTCTTATTATTCACATCGTTTTCCTATTCAGCCATGATTCCGATGGCACAATATCTGTACCACAGATTGTGTATTATATATAATATATATATCGCACTGCCACGAAAGTTAGTCACTGACTCCCAGCATGCTTTTCTGAGTGCTCGTTTTTGCATAACCTACCAACTTGAATGACTACACCATCCATTATCATCATCATCAATCCACATTAGCCGAAGGTAAGAAACACACCTCACCTAATGTGCCGCAATACAAAAAGTATAGTAAACATTTCAGGCTACAAAAGCTAACAACGTAACACAATGCTAAAATCACATTCTGCATTGGGTTGAGATCGTTGTTGGATAAGGAAGCTAAAGGGGAGGGGAGGGACAAAGAGACTCACAACACCAACGTCATTGAGGTCAGTTCCTCGCCGTGTCAGCAAGTGTATCCAACCGGACATGTTCGTCGTCTTTCGGACCCTAGCCTGGCAGTCTGGCAACACCAACCGACGCCAAGTTCAACGTGTGGGTTTTCATTCCTTTCAACCAAGTCATCACTTGACCTCCCCCTTTCTCCTTCCATCCAAATGCCGGGCACGCGGACAACGCACAACGCGTGAGTCGATGTGCCGGCATACACAACACGTGGCCCAGCCATCGGAGTCTGGTACGTGATATAATGTAGGTGAGCGGTTCACTCGCTCTTTCTGCACCAAATACACGACGCTGAACACGCTCATTGCTCATGCGGTGTTCCCACCAGACATGAGCTATACTTTGAAGGCAGCGATGATTGAACGTAACTACCCTGTTTATGTCGACTGATCCAGTGGATCAGATTTCGCTAACGTACAATAGGGTTGTACGGACGGCTACATTGTAAACTCTGCCCTTCTGGGCGAGAGTGATGTTACGCTGGCGCCACTGGTTGCGGAGATTGGCAAATGCACCCCGAACTTTCGCTTTACGTTTTGTGACCTCATCTTTAATCTCACGGGCGCTATTATAGCTGCCCAGGTATTTGAATTTCTGAACGATTTCTAACTGATCACCGCCAAGGGTCAGCGCAGGAGTGCGTCCCTGCCAATCTTGGAGAAGGGCTTTGCATCTCTAGGGTGCGAAGCATGGTCCAAAACGACTGACAGCCAAACCTAATTAATCCAGTGCAGCCTGGCACGTTCAGGAGCTGTCATAAGTGAGGGCAATGTCGGCGGCATATTCCAGGTCAGGAAGCCGATCACCTGAGAGCAGTTCCACACCTAAGTCGTGCCTGACGAACGTTGTTTTCATAATTTCGTCAATGATGAAGTTAAAGGGAAAGGTGACAGCGGACAACCTTGTTTCACACCGCTGGGCGGCGAAACTTTCCCATAAACCCTCATTCTGCCCGAACTATGCGCATACAGCGCTCTTATAACAGTTCCCTATTTATCGAACACACCTTTCCTTAGTAAACAGTCCCAAAGGGCACATCGATCAACCGAAATGACATCCCCTTTGATATCCAAGAGCACGATTCCGGTGGGTCTCAAACAAACATGGTGGGGCTTCAGCAATCGACGCTAAGTGAACTTGTGAACGATGCAGCCCCGAACTCTACGAAACCCGGCTTGATATCCATGAATCTGGCTTTCACGAGTGGCAGTCAATCTGCGGAGGATAACAGGCAAGCAGCTTGAAACCGACGGAGATCAGACTGATTTCCTAATGGTTGCCGCGTGCGGACTGAGAACTCCCTTGAAAAAGATGACTATAACAGAGAGGCTCCATTCCGTCGGGAGAGTCTCATGCTCCTATAGATTCACTAATTAGTCCAAAAGTGTATGGTCCCGGAATTTGTAGGGGGCTGGATGAAGCCCATCTGCTCCAGCGACTTTGTTCAACCCCAGTCATCTGATGTCGCGTGACGGCGGATCCAGAGTGACGGCCGAGGGAGTAGGGCGATCATTGGCCGATGGAGCAGTTGTCAATTCTGACTGGTTGAACTGCTTTCCAAAGTGTTCGGCCCAACGCTCCAAGCGCTTTGACAAACTGTTTATCGGTTGCCCACTCTCGTCGCATATCGTCTCGCTTGCACCAGGTCTCCTACTGTACGTTTCTCGTACCAGATGGTTGTCAAAAAAAGCGACTGTTTCCATCTCCGAGGCCGGACGAGACCACCACACTTCGCGGTCGCTCTTCACGCCAGCACGCAGTTTCGCCTTGGGATCTTGGCGAGTCTCATTGTATTCGCTTCCAGCTGGAACACATCGGCAAGCATCGATAAGTTCCAGAGACTGTGTAGAGATCCAATGTCCAGTTTAGCGATTTGATTTACCACATGAGAACATGCCTCACAGGATGATGGTATGTCTGCAAGCGTTATTTACTTTGACATGCACAGAGCTTTTATTATAGTGCCTCAAGTAAAACTAATATCTAAGATGATGTCATACGGTATCGAAGAACCCCTATTTTCATGGTTGTAATCGTACGTCACAAACTGCGCTGGTGGTACAGATTCACGAACACAAGGCATCATTCACAAGTGGTGTAGTGCAGTTCAATGTCTTTGCTCTTCTGCTGTTCTTGATGTGTTTTAACGGTATCTTAGATGCTATGCACTTCGGAACACCATTCGTTTTTGCTGACGATATCAGGATTATGTATGGTTTTCGCCTGCTACCATCAACAATGCTCTACCTCCACGCGCTCGAAACCTAGTGCTTAAAGTGGGGAATGTTATTTACGACGGATAAGTGTTGCGCAGTGTGTCCTAAAAATGCGACATAAAATTTGCTGCTCTGACCAATTATGATATGCCACAACATTGGGGACTTGGGAGACTGAGTTAATCATTTGCTCACTTAATTTCTTCTCCGGACAAGTAGGTAACGTCGCTGCAAACTTCGGACAGCCTATCAGAATGCTATTTACTAAAACATTTAGTCTAAAGGAATCCATACTTTTCATCCATTCATCACTTTCTCGTCTCCCACTGGAATACTGTTCAATACTGTACAGCAGCACAAACGCGACCACGTTGCATTAGAACACATGCAACGAACACCTACCTCGTAGCTCGTCGAAATTAGAATATTTTGGGCGATTTGACACTTAGAAACTCGGGCTTGATTATTCCCTCTAGCTGAGGCGCGTGAAGCCCGGCCTAATTTTGAACGTCCCGTACAAAAACTGCTTTACCCTTATACCAAACACAGAATAAGGAGAATTCCTTGGTGTAATACAAATCAGACGCCAACAGATTCGCGAACTACTTTCCTAACAGATGTGTAAAAATCTGAAACAAATTTCCATCCGAAGTACGTACCTGCAATTCAGATCACGAATTTCGGATAAGGACCAACAAATGTGTAACTGTACAAAACGTGGTCATGATATTGTGATGTCACGTAACACCTAGTCAAGCATACGAATAAGGCTCAGGATTGCTATGATCCAGAAAACCATCTACAACAAATGTAAATACTGAAGTGGGAAAGCCTCTACACTCACCGTTCGCTTTTTACTCGGCTAGCTCAACGCCAAGTTTACCACCAACAAACTTATGATAAGGGAAAGACAACTGAACGCCCCTCTACGTTCCATCTTCATCTTCAATGTCTCACTTACTCTTATGGCAGTCTACTCTTACATTTCCCGTTTCTGTGCGCCCCTCTTGTTCCAATCGCAGGTGACTTCCACAGCTAAGATCTGTTACGTATGAGTAGTCTTGATTGAATTAGCCGGCATAAGGTGCCTTAGCGTTTTATGTTCATATTGTCAAGGGTTCTACTAATCCGGATAAAGATACGCTTCGCAGCTTCTGACTACTCACTGATACATCAATCAACAATTATGCCGTGTCAAATCTAAAATGGATTGACAACATTGTTGCATATTTTCCAATCGTTCGTGGTTGCTGCACTAGCAAATGATTTTTGTTACCTAAACAGGCGTGTCTCGCCGTGTGCGCCAGCCCACCGATCAAGTCGACATGAGCTAAGTTCTCACCAACCCCGAACTTACGGCGCCTACCTGGTCTATGGTGATCGCATGCACGGAATGCAGTACGGATGCCGTAGATCTCTGCAGTACCACTTCAACTACCGATTCAAGACCGCTCCTTCTATTTCTGACTCTAGTCGATTCCCCTAATTGATCGCCTTACGTGTCGTTAAGCAATACTGCTTCATAATGATAACTTCAGTTAACTCTTCCTGGTTATCATTCCAATTGTGCCTCATCTCGTACACACAGATAGTTCATCTTCCTATGACCTCATTTCACTTACTTTTCTATGCACATCTTCCCGTCCTGTTTCACTAGTTACTTGTCTCAAGAGCTTCGTTGCCGCTTTGATCGTTTCGCTGAATCCGTGCTGATAGATCTCATCGCACTGATGTCGAATAGCGCCAAAGTGATGGCTAGTAGTGGGGTAGTTGCCATCCGTTTCATACTAGAGGTAAGCATTAATGTCTGCGCAACGCAATAACTTTTTCCATTTCATCGCAACCGCCTAGTTGTTCATATATATACATAGGAACTCATTTTCATCGTTACCTAGCATCTCTCCGTTTCATGATGGGTACACCACTGCGTTGCTTACCTTCTCCGCTTTGAGATAACTCGGATTCCTATGCGTAGTGTTCACATTCTTTTCTCCTTTTTGTGGATACCAGAACACACACTCGTCAAGGCTATTACCCTTGATAACTGGATCGCTTTCGTCCAAATCAAATATCACGCGCAAGTGAGTTTCCGCATCAGCTTTTGATTTAGTTGCGTCGCGAAGTTCTCTGCACCCGTAAATTCCCAGCTCTCTTTGAGTACCCTCGTAACGCGTCACATTCTGGCACTTCCGGATCTCGCTTCAAATCCTTTTTCCGGGCACCGTGTTTAGTTAGTTTGAATCCATTTAATGGGTCCGTTCATATCGCTTTCGTTCTGTCCATTCCACACAAATTTGAGTTAAGTACATTTGAATTCAGTTACACCGAATAGCCGGAAAATATTCACGTTGCGAGCTGTGTTGCAGCATTCATCAATCAAATGCCAGCCAGTAGTGGTGTCCGACTCATGGTTGAGAGGTTTAGGTGTTTGGTTTGCAATCCACGAGTCGCCAGTTCGAACACGCGTGGATGCGAGTGAATTCGCGGTATCCCACTCCGCATGCACCCGCTATTGCTTGCGGGGCAGTGGAGCATTACCATGAAATACCAGTAGATAGGCATTAGCGGTACGCAGTACCAACACTTCGCTTCCGTGCAATCATCACCGTTCGCAGATGGGCTAAGGATACTGCGAAGTTAACCCTGCTCCTACGCAAGCTCGAACCCGCGCCGTCGGATTACAAGGCAAACTTGTTATCTTGAGGCTGCGGGCCATGCCAGTACCAGTGTGCAACTTTTACCTTTTAGTAAGGATTTAGCATAGCGATGCTTCCTCTGACTCATCCCAACGAGAATCTTCACAGCATAGTATACTGGTTTACATGCTACTGTCATCCAGCGTCTTATAAAACAGTTGGTTCATGAATGACAACTCAGCGACACTCCTTGCTTTTCTCTGTTCATCTTTACTTCCAACGGTCCCCTGTTATTTTTGATTATTGTCTGCTTGATTTGCCTGTTTTCTTCCTCATTTTCACATCCAATTATTTTTCATTCTCACAGTGTCACTAGCCCGGTCCACTGCATTTTGATGCGTGAACTAAGAGCAGTTAACCTAGCTGTAAAATTGACACGCTAACTCTCAAAATCATCGACATCTACACTTCGAAATGAACCAACTGTCCTCCTTCAATACGAACATGTAGGACAGCAACATGCATGTGGCAATCTTAGCCAAATTTTTGCGATCGCATTGAGATTATGTCCGCTGGTAAACGAATATATTTATTGCCATTTTTTGCTTCACCAATACTGCTCCGGTTCTGTCTAATCTGACACAGCAAAGTCATGAAGAGCCTACTGAAAGGTCCAACTAGTTTTGTGGTGGCATTTCTAGGGCTGGTTGCAGCTGTAGCTGCACACCTTATTGCATATGACACTATCATGGGGTCAGTAGTACTCTCGCATTCCATTCAAAGACTGCAAATCAACGCAAGGCCATCATCCGACACCGCAGTCGCGATTTCAAGGGGGATGTCCGGGAGAAGAAGATCCCCTAGAGAATCTCATTATTTCTGTGAGAAAACAAGCTGAGTGAATGGCGTACAGCCGAAACATTGATTCATTTCAGTAACGTTCGCGTCCACATGACGCGCATACCTACCTTCCTGTTGGCTAGCTGAACTGCTCTACCAATCAGGACCTCTGCCTAGCTGTTCTTATCCTTGAACTTTCCTGGGTTAATTTATAAATGTCCGTTAATTTCACACTACTTGTCTTCGTTTCGGTAGCTGCGGCTATAACACGCATTTTGCCTCTGGACATTTGCTTCTGATTTTGACTTCGATTCGGAGCCGACAGGGAACGTGTTCAGTTCAATCGGAATCGCAAATCTATTGCTTATTACTCCGTCTGGCGATTTTATCTCTCCCGGTTTCCTCAAGTTACAGTTGTTACATAAATAAGTAAATAATATCTATTTCCGACTTACAGCGAAAGTATGTAGATCATCGGTCGGCAGAGTCTGTCTGATTTGAAAATCCTTCATCATTACTAATATGATGTTGCCATGGCACACCAACCATCCTCGGAAGCCAGCGGTGATTCAAAACAGACATCCTCTGAGCATCTTTTGCACGAACAGGCCAAGGCTCGCAACCGTAGAGCAGAATCGCTTATACTGTATCGTTGTAGCTCCTGCCTTTCGGAAAGATGCTATGTTCATGTCGACGCCAGAGATGTCGAAGATTAGCAAATGCAACCCGAGTCTCGGACGCCCGAAAAAATGCCTGATCCGTTAAACTATCTTCGCTGAGACAGCCTCCGAAATAGACCAACTTGTCCGTTACTTCCAAAGAATGATCAAGTTGGTTGGGGAAGGAGTAATACCTGGTCGGTCCTACAGATAACCTAACTCCTAGATAGAGCGAAGGTTATTCCGAAATGGGAACCAGACACCAAACTATGTAGTAAAGTTTGGACAATACGCATTCCGTCAAAAATTACGGCGATCGTCGTCCATAACGGTTAAACAGGTCAACCCCGTCCCACGCTTCTAATGATGCCTAACGGGGAGGGCGAAAGTCCGCCGTACATCCGCACTCTGCCAGAACCTTAACTTACATGATTTGGCGAATGCTGACGTACTTCTCAAGCGCTCCCTTTGTCAACAGTTAACTCCAATGAATAGCTCAGTCAAATGAATCAAACGTTTGTTGGTCGACCGAACGCTTGAAGATGCTCGAATATCTTTCGAATCAAAAAAATGTGCTCGATACAGCACCATCTAGAGCGGAACCTAGCTTGCTGTTCGCTTATTTTATATTCACGAATCAGGCTTAGCCTCCTTAAAAGCAGCCTGGCGAGCACTTTGAATGCAAAAATTTTAGACTAATCCCTCGATGATTGAAGTAGTCTGTCCGGGCACTCTTTTTGAAGACGGGAACGATATCCGCTAACCCTCCTCCCAATCGGACGGAATTGCTTCAGTGATCCACTTGGAGGACAGAAGTTAAGTTCCGAACAAGTGCTGGACCTCTATGTTTGAAAATAGCCGATGGGTGTTCGTTTTGGTCAGCGACTTTGTAGTGCTTCAGTAGGCGAAGCTCATAGGCAACCTTACCCCCAGATGGTAGTGAAGCGTCTACAAGCCACTAGGCAATGCGGATTTTCGAATGAGAAATCATTGATGATGCAGGCCATTTAAATTGCTTCTCGAAATGCTCTGCCAAACACACAAGTCGACGTTGACAGTGGATTGTGTTGTGTTTCTGCTGACAGTATGGATAACCGATACAGCAACTCGGGTCACGATACAGCCACTTCCCAAATCAGAAGACAAAGGCCTCTGGCGTAAATTGTATAGAGCACCCTGAAGACAGTATATAGGGGGGGGGGGTCAAAATCAGTAATTCATGAGAGAATGACCTAATAGAAAGTTTCTGACTATAGCAACTATTAGCTGCGCAAAACTCGCTTGTCGGCTGTTCAAGTAGTGCGTTTACTGGTAGGCTTCAAGACAGGTTATTCAAGATTAAACGATGCCATTGGCCTACTCTCTTTGGCCTGCCATTTAGCTACAGGCGGCGTACAACCAATCTTCTCCGTACTGCTTAGAGAGAGAGAGTTGGCTTTGGGGGCTGCTACGAATGGGCTCCCGTAACATATGGGCCTGTCAATGGTTTCGCACAGAACTTCACTTACAGTCGACCTTTTGCCGCCAGAAGGAAATGCTTTTTGAAATTCCCCGGGGCGACTGCTTTCCCCATCTCTATGATCCACTGTGTCCACCAGGCGTCGCGAGTCTCCTGGAGTTTCTTGAGCTCGGCGTTGGTAGTCCTGATTAGTGAGTGATGATCAACGCCAGCTGGATTTTCTTGATGAGCTTTGAGTAGATGCAGAGATGGTGAGGGTATCCAGTGGTCAACATAGGTACTAGTGGGGCCCCAAACCAGGGTCGTAGAGTTATGCATGACACTGCGGATGGGTGCCCAGTGCCTCTCGTTGTCGGAGCACAAGGCACAAGAGTGGCCGCATGTTTTTCTGATGTGTATGCGTCTTTACCTACTCCGCTGGCTTTCAGCAATTAGAGATGGCGTTTCCCGAGAGGAACAAGCCGGTTTTCATCATGGCAGTAGTCGTATCGACCAAATCTTCACACTCCGCCAATGTCTTGAACTCCGTCACGTCTATCGACAAACAACACTCATAGTGTTCTTGGATCTCCCAGCTGCATTTGACTCAGTAGATAGATCTGCTTTGTGGAACCGTCTACTAAGGAAAAATGTATGCCCGCGAAGTTTGTAACCATCCTGAAGGAACTCGAAGGTCACACGTAGAGAAAAACCAGGGTTTACAGCAGGCTTTCCTCTCCGTTTGCTGTAACAAACGGCGTTCGCCAATGTTGCTCTCTTTAACCTTTCGTATACACTTTTTCCATTGAAGATGTCGTCCAACGAGCATTGGAGGGCGTCCAAAACCGCGGTGTTGAGCTTCTCCCAGGTGACAGAGTTGAGAATTTGCACTACGCCGATGATATCATTTTGCTTGGGGACAATCCACAAGACGTCCAGAGCGCTTTGAACCGCTTAACGATGGAGGCGTCTAAGTATGGCCTGTATTTCACCCCAGGCAAGTGCAAAATACTACTCCAGGATTGGCAGATGCCTGTGCCTGTCCTCACCATTGCTGGTGACGTCCTGGAACAAGTCCCGTGCTTCACTTATCCAGGGAGTTGCGTCAAGGCTGACAGCCGTATTGCAGATGGGGTCTCACCGGATCGCAAAGACCCACCTTAAATTTATCAGACTGGGAAACCTATGGCGATATCAGTCTCAAGCTGAAAAGCAGGGTATGCACTGGCTCTGTTGGTACAATCCCCTTGTACGGCTGTGAGACCTGGCCTATTCGCGAAACGATTGTCAGTTTTTGACAATCGTTGTCTGCGTTGGATTGCTCACGTGTGGTGGTAACGTCACGTAAATCCGAGACCGAGTGCTTGGAGCAAACAGTGCATACCTCCAAAACGTTATTTTCCTACACCGCATGTGTTGGCTCAGCCAAATGTTACGCATGCCAACTTAGCAGCTTCCCCGTTGAGCGTTATTTGCGCTCCCCGGTCGCAATTGACGATGGCGGAGCCTCAAATTGAATGGCTGATGTACTGTTGATGATGATTAATAATGAGCAATATATCTATCGGATTGCCCATTATTAGTGTTAGCTCTAGGTTTTCTCAATTACAGAGGATCATGAATTCGCTGCAGTTTCGAAACCCTGCACCGATTTGGGCGCCCGGATAATTTCACGTCCTTTTCTTGAAACGGCTCCGCACAAACGCCTGTCTTGTTCCACTTCGCTTCCACATTGTCACTCAAACACACAGATTAATACAGGGATGTGCGGTCTGCTTGCTATTCTCGACCGCCCGTCATGTGGCTTAGTTCATTTACTCGCTTTTGCTTTACTCTTAAAGATTTATCACTTAAATCCGCGCGCCTTGCCATTATTGACTTTTACGTAACAGTCCTTTCGTTCTTGGGTTTATTCGATTTAATAAAAACCCTTCTTACCAACACACCCATGGTTAGAATCTCTCTTATCTCCGACGGTGGAACTGTGCGCCTTGTGGTTACTTATAGTGGCCAGATTCAGCTTAGCGCTCGCTAGGTATGGACTTACAGGTTACATATGTTGGTTTACTTTTAAGCTAATTATGCCGGGGGTACCTTGACAGTCTTAACAGTCCTTTACTCATGGACCAGCGGACCGTTTCCAGCGGTTCTGTCCTAAGCACTTGCATGCATGTCTACGAACATCCCATTTTTATGTGCAACAGGGACTACCCTTTTAATATTTGGTCGAATGCTACAGATTTCTGGTGCTCGCTCACGGTTTTGTCCCCCCCCCCCGACTTGAGCCTTCACTCTACTGAAGCCTGCACATGAATTGTCCAATTACGACATCTAGCGGCACCTTCGCCTTCTTCTGACCGTTTTACTTACGTTGCTCTAATGACCTTATCTCTCTTAATCGGGACATATACCACCCATCTGATTTCTTACGCCTACTAGTACGGCACTTTCCACTTTTATTTCACTGCCTTTTTACGCGGATCGCTCCCGCAGATGTTTTACTCACATGTCAGTTTGTTGGATTTGGAAATATTTCCTTCACTGTCCGCTGTTACCTCTTAACTCCAGGCATATTTGCGAATTCCTTGAGATCATCTTCCGTGAGTGGCCTGCAAATATATTAGAGAAGCACTTGGGAACACTACGTGATTCTTTGAGACGTGGTATCTACGACGCTGATCAGGAGGCTCGGCTTTTCTCCCGTCGGTAATTATGCCCCCAACGTTTATGTGATATGTATTTTACTCTGTCACTTCGATGTGTATAAATAAGTCCAGTTTAGTTCAATTCTCTCGTAGTGCTGTGCACCCGTTCTCTACCGTTCTCTTGTCTGTCTGCTATTCGATTGTTTTAACTTCATGCGCCGTTCTTCACATCTCGGTTCTTTTGATCCGCATCTCAAATGTTTCTGTTTTTAAGGTTCTCTTCAACTCGTGGTTTAGTATTTATCGTAATGAGTGTGGACCTTAGCATGATGCAGCAGTCTTTGTATCTTGCAACCCGTTGAGTAGTGCCAGGTAGCGCTGTCGTACACCTCGGGAGCGGCTGTTACTAGCTTGGTCAATATAGTTGAAGTAGGGTAATGTCAGTCTCCAACTCCTGTTATCTGGGCTTCAAGGTGTGCTTGTCAGTTTCCATATACATAATGTCTTCTCAAACTGGACGTTTCTCAAACCAAATTGGACGCTTTTTAAGCCTGTTGGAATGTTTTTCAAATTAAAGTGAACGATTTTTACGTTGCAAGGGGGTCCAAGGCAGCTAGAATTTGGAATCAGAAGATGCTTGTACAAATCCTCCTCTTGCCATGGTCTTGACCAGACTTGATGTTGAGCGCCGTTCACATAGACGAAATGTGGGGACCCAGTTAACCTCGTCACCCAACCGGCTTTCGTTTAGCGTGTGCCTCTGCGCGTTCATCATTACACATTGAATATCGAAACGAAAACCGGTAGCTCAGGTTGTTCAGATGGCGGTTAAATAATTGGCTGAGTTTGGCAACATTTTGCAGACGTTTCATCACGTTCCATCAGTGCTTTGTTACCTAGCGTGTAGTAGCGTAGTGAAGCCTCGGTGTATGTGCCGAACATGGTGTGCATGCTCTTTTATCTGTCACGTGCTTGGCCGTGTAGATGAGCGATCCTATTAATTGGGACTTCGATCCGCACATTGGGCGGATGACTTACGGACTTGATCTCTCCGGTTTGTGCTTCGTGACCATTGTCTGTGCTCTTGTCATCAAGTTCCTCTCCAGATTTGTTTGTCTAATGCCATATTCTACCAGCTTCATTCGGTCAAGCCGGCGATCCATCACCAGTAATGCTGCGTAGACTGTGTCTGGTTCAATGTATCTATTGAGTGAATTCACTGTGGAGTGCCCTGCTTCCAAAACTTCCGTCGCGAGCTTTGTACTTCTACGCGCCAGCATCTTTACATTATCCAGATCAAAATGGTGCCATGTTCTACCAGATTCATTCGATCAAGCTGGCGATCCCTCGCCAGTAGTATGGCGTATACCACGTCCAGTTCAAGGTGTCTGTTGATTGAATTCGCTGTGGCGTGCCATGCTTCCGAAGATTCCCCCGCGAGCTTTGTACGTCTATGTGTCAAGATCCAAACTGGTGGCCTTCTTGATCTTCATGCGCGGAATGTAATGAATGCGGATCACGTCTTCTTACGGCCGCCTTGTGCCTGGTGATTCGTGTATAAAGCTTTCTTTCAGTTCATCCGACGTAATTGTTGTCACCTAGTTGTTATCTCATTATCATCAATACACGCTAGCTGTGAGTGAGAAACACATCTCATGTGCCTGCTGCTGTATCGAATGTTCCGAAACAACGGTTATCCAAGTAACTTCATCCGAAGAATATTGAGAAACGAACACCTCAGCAATTGTTGGAGCCACGTGAACGAATAAAAAAACGTATGGTGCTCCTTTACATCAAGGACGCCTCCGAACTAACATGTTGATTGCTGCGGTCAAATGAATTCTGTGGTTCACAAACCAAGTGCCGCCTTAGGGAAATTGGTCTCAAGATCTATAGAAAAAGGTAATCAAGTTGACCAAAGCAATGTTATCTACCAGATAAATTGCAGCGACTTTGATAAAAACTACGTCCGACAAACTGGAAGAAAGCTTTATACACGAGTCGCCAGACACAAGGTGGCCGTAGGAAGACGTGATCCGCATTCATTAGTTTCCGCGCATGAAGATCAAGTAGGCCACCATTTTGGATCTTGGCACATAGACGTACAAAGCTCGCGGGGGAATCTTCGGAAGCATGACACTCCACAGCGAATTCAGTCAACAGACACCTTGAACTGGACGTGGTATACGCCATACTACTGGCGAGGGATCGCCAGCTTGATCGAATGAATCTGGTAGAACATGGCACTAGACAACCAGATCTAGCGACAGGCTTGTTCACAAGAGCAAAAACGAAGGTCACAAGGCACAAATCAGAGATGTCATCCGCCCATCAAACAAACTGATCGCCGACCAAAGTCCCAACCAGTAGGATCGCTCGTCTACACGGCCAATCACGGTGACAGTTAAACACGCACTCACACCATACTTGGCGCACTCTCACCGAGACTTCCCTACGCTACCCTACTGCACGCTACGCAGCAACGCACTGTTGATATCACCTCGATTGGGGAGGAAACGTCTGCATAATGTTGCCAAGCTCAGCGAACAGTTCAACCACCACCATTGCATATCAGACAAAAATGAAAAACACACTTCAGCAATTGTGCCGCAAGACAAAGACCCACAGATTCTATACTGCATAGTAACACTACTGCACTGGGATTGGAGTTGGAGGGAGAAGATAAGCGGCATATGAAGGAACAAAGAAACTTACAGCATAAGCGTCATTGAGGTCGGCTCCTCGCTGTGTCAACTATTGTATCCAACTAAACGCGTTCATCATCTTCATGATTCCAGGCCGGCAGTCGGAGGACAACAGGTCCGGACTGAATGTCTTGATAAAGTCATCGCTTGGCTTTCCGTCATCTTCTTCCATCCACACTTCCGGCTCGCAGACAACACACGTCACCGGAGTCGGTGTTCTACCATGCGCAATACCTGGCTCAGCCATCGGAGCCTAGTGCATGATTTAGTGATGCTCAGGGGTTCACTCGCTCTTCACCAAATGGTCGACGCCGAACACGCTCATTGCTCACGCGGTGCTTCCACCCGACATGAGCTAAACTGCATGGGCAACGATGATTGAACATAACTAGCCTCTTTATGTCTGTCGACTTGATGGGCTAGGTTTCTCAACCACACATGATGGTTGAACAGACGGCTGCTTGGAACCTCTGTCCTTCAGGGCGAGAGTGATGTCGCATCGGTGTCACTGGTGGCGGCGACCGGAATAAGTGCTTCGAATTTTTACTATACGCTAGGTGATCTCATCGTCTATTCCATTGGCACTAATATAGCTGCGCTACTACCAGCTAATCACTACTAAGGATCAGCGCGGATGTTGGTCCCTGTCAATCTTGGAGAAGGGTTTTACATTTCGAGGATACAAAGCCTAGCCTGAAATGGCTGACAGCCAATGTTAATTTGTCTGGTGCTGCTTGACACGTCTGGGAACTGTCACAGATTAGGATAAATCAAGAAGTCCTTCATCTGGAAGAAGCTCCACGCCCTGTAGGTCGTACCCGGTGAACGCAGTTTCCATTACTTCGTCAATGGCAAAGTTACAAAGGAATGGTCACAGCGTGCAACTTTGTCTCATGTCGTTAGAGATATTTACAGGCAACCGCAGCTTGCCTTGAGCCCTCACTCTGCCTGGACTGCGCGCGTAAAGTGTACGTAAACTGTTTACATATCAATAGGCACACCTAAGTAGGCAGTCCCGTAGACATCTTGGATGTCGAAGAACACGACAACGGTGGTTCGCCAGTATGGTAGTGCTTCAACAATCTTTTTAATGTGAAGAAGTGATCATGTAATGTGATGCGAGTTGGAAAGTCGGATTAACACTCAATGGCTCAGCCAATTTTAGGATTGCTATTATTAGTTTACTGAAGTAATGAAAAGCAATTTCCTCACTGAATTGTGTGTTCCACGAAGTAAAATAGAGCAACTGACGTCTAGGAGACACGTCTCCAAAATAGCGCAATGCAAACAAACTTCTTTGATGCATAGAGAGTTCCTTCTGAAGTTTGTGTTCATCGATGGGAAAATCACTCATCAGGCTTCCCAAGTCGTCGATGTCAACGAGAGCACGACAACAAACGTCATTAGTACTTTCAGACGGGACTGCTCCATTGTTTAACGCCACTTTGAAAAATCTAACCTTGAGAGCTGACTCCCGACTCCATGCAGCGCATCGGAGATCGTTGAACGACATCTACAGAATGCTACTGTGCAGATAGCAGCGAGTGGAAGAGGCCAACATCCATCTGGACTCATCAAAAATTTTCGTTGCCTTCATGAGGCTGAAGACCACTCGATAAATGCCAATGCGAGCTCGACCTCGTCAACAATGCCGCGATAATCATAAACCAGAAGGCCTACGCCCTCTACTTCTTGACACCTACATCACAAGCTAATTAGAAGTACCTCTTCATCGACGTGTGTTCAATTCTCATCTGCGACGGACACACGCTTGCGTACAGAATCTTATGACAATGAGTAATCAAGGTATAGTTCATCTATTGATCATAAATATTGGCACATTCACTGGTGCAAGATTTTACACGTTCATGGAATGTCTAGTGGCGCGTGTTTATCGCAAGACTAACCATGGACAGCATAATAACTACGACACTGGACGACCATATCGGGGATTCCGGGTTTTTCCTATCAGATAAAATTTTTGTGGCCCTTCTCTTACATGCTAAATCTTGCCGAGAACGTTGTTTCAGAAGTGTCGAAATGGTAACGCAGCAAAGCTGCACCATTTACGTCCTGGATATGGTAAACTTGATGCCAGCAGCCACGGGCCAGCCTTTCCTCAACTGCGTCTTTCTAACGCTGTTATTTGATTATTTTTAATGAGTTTCTTATATTCCGCTCAAAAATACAATGTCCAGTTTGGTTTGAAATGTGTCCTAGAGGAGTTGAATAACGTCCAGTTTAAAGCGTAAGTGGTCTATAACTAGTCCGTGCTTTGAAACATCTTCATCTTTCTGCTGCATGTCGATGCTACGTTTGATCTAAAGACTTTGGCCGATGGCCATACTCGCGCTCTTGTCTAGATTTGAACGTTCTGATCGTATCTCAGCTCATGTGAGACAAGACTACCCCATCAAACTGCAACCTCATATTGAACGGGTCGTGGTACAGTTTCAAACGACTCACTTGTCTACTGTATAAAACAATGCGGATAAGCGGATACATCATTCCTTAGTGCCTTCTTTCTTACTTTTCGACTTGTTTCCCCACACTCCCAATTCTTACCAGCAAGCCCCTTTTCATATTTCATAGCTTCGGTGCTGGGCTGTGCAGTTCCACTAAATTGCCATCTGTATACGTTTCAATGGACTGCCAGTTAATCTACGGTAATTCCGAATGGCTACGCTCAACTGTGATGATCTGATAGGACAAAGTTAAGTCTACAATAACGCATCATATTTCAAGGGCTACTCTGTGTTGCGTCTCCGGAATAAAATTCCTCCTGATTATGTGGTTATCGATCTGAATGCTCGTATTCTAACCCTGACTATCTTACCTGAAACATCCACTAAAAGATAAGACGGCTATTGGAATGCAATATTAAGAGTGAGTAACACCTATCACTGTACATAGTTTATCTCACCTGTGTTCGCACGCGTCTGGGTGTGTTGACGCAGCCGCCACTAGTCCAGTTGGAGTGTGTATCGTTCTCAACTCCAGTGCTTTGTTCACGCTCCTTAGGTTTTTGTGAATAACCATCTGTGCGCAGTCCGTTTGTTTGACCGGCTTTCTGGTAGTCACTACTTACACTCCAAGTGAACTCCATCTCGGGGCTATCATTGATGCTCCCTATCATGAGCTTGATAATCCACACGGTTCGGCCCATCCTCTGGGTTGTTTCATCTTGTTAGCACATCTCGCATCATATATATATATATATATATATATATATATATATATATATATATATATATATACTATTTTCTCTCAATTATGCGAGGCGATTCTCGATGATATGCTCCTTTGCGTTGCCGATTCGTAGCCTAAATGTAACGACTTTGTGATGTAATCTGACGACGCAGGTTCGTGCCTGCTTAGGGACAGGGAGATTCTCGCAATACTGAGTACCTGCGTACTGCTAATGCCCAGCGTTGGACGTCCCATCACCCCTCGTTTTGGCTTAAATTATTAGCAGTAACGCCTGCACCCATCGAATTTTATTGGTTTCTATTTGTGTAATTGCACTGTCTAAAATTGCTCTTCTTGTGTTTCTTCTATCTTCTGCGTCACCTACAGTGCCTTCCCTCTGTTTGCGGCCAAATTTCCTGATCAAGCCAATTCTCTCCTGCAATCCATCGACGCACAGAAGCGTAAACTAATTGAAGGGGACCTGATCAGTTCTGGGCTCCCTGGAGCCGTGGCAAGTGGTGATGGAGGGACTGTCCGAAGTCGGTCGAACAGCCAATCTTCCGGACAGAGTCGATCCACTGGCAATGCAGTCACTCGGAGGCCGACGAGACCCATTCTCGGCGCCACTGCCATCGGTGCAAATGGGACTCGCGGTCGACCACCCGTGACAACTATGAACGACTACAATACCGGTTTGTTCTTTGTTCATTAATTTTTTCTAACCGTCGCAGCAGCTTTCTCTTACTTTCTTGTCGAGTGTACCACAAGAACTTAATCAGGAGGTTAACCTCTCTGTTGTAAACACTAACTGGCAACTGACGTAGCCGCTCTAGGAATAAGACTGCAGACTTGACCTGTGTACACAATTAGTGTTTCAGCACACCGGAACCTAGCTTTCACATTAGTTCTGAACACATTTGTTTGCTAGAGTGCATTCCCTTTGATTACGAAATGTTGGAAGATATCCACATGAAATGAAATTGTTTTCACTATTGTAAGCATTTCGTCCGCAATCAAGTTCGTGTGTCCCATATACTCTTTCATTATTGGATGTTCCTCATTTCCCGTTCACTCGAATACTCCGAACGCTCAGCACTATACTGCTCTTCTTCTCATGGGACTTATCATCAAGTCAAGTCAACTCAACTTAATCCTTATGTACCCAAATTCTTGCATTTCCAGTATTTTCCGCTGTCAACTGTAAATTTACTAAACGGGGACCATCAAGAATGCTAAAGTTTACAAATGGGTAGAAAAACGAGTCGGATGCAGTCATAACTCAATCAAACAACGATCGCATAACGCTTCACTTCATCTTCGGGTCATACATCCATGCGAAAAGGGCAATGTTTCATTAAAACGTCTTTTCATAGCTCGTTGCAGTTAAATTGCGCGGTATCTCAGCGTTTATATTCAAAATATGGATTGAGTAGATTGGTCTAACTGACCTTGGCAGTTGACTGAACAAAATATTTGCCATCTTATCGTTGCAAGAATGATATATTTGCAGGAGATAATGTAAAAAATGAAAAAGTGAAATGCAGTCAAAAAAAAACTGCATTATATATATATCGTTATTTGATGGCGCGGGATGATCTCATCAAATGCGTGACGAAACTTCTCCTCCACTTTTAAACTGACTAAACATGGCGCTGTTTGTATCAGCTGATATATGCAGCAAAGCTATCAAAGGATCGCCTTATTTGCATTCTTAAAGATGCCGACCTGCTGATTGCCTTTTATTTCCAGCACCCAACCGTCTCTTGGTGCTACAAAGTACTAGCGAATTAGTTGTTGTTTTTTTTACCTTACACCAGTTTCTCCACGGCCCAACGAATTTCGCACTTACTTGAATGTCACTTTAATATGGCAGACAAATGTTTATATCTCTTCGCGAAAAACATTAATGTAAAGCTACTGGTCTTTGCTATTCGCTCCGTGTAAAAGGCTGCTGCGATCGCCGAAGAATGGTGGATCCTGTTGCCTTGCTTTGCGTGCCCAGGATACCAATGAAGCTCAAGTTTGATACAAAGTGAGAGGAGTTAGGAAACAATTACGTGAACTTATTTGCGCTTCAATATTCACAGCAGGGTCGCCATTGAGTCCGCGACTGTCATATCTGACAAGGTTTGTGACCAACGTTGTGGCCTATCCTGAAACTCACAACCACGACGATGATGATTGCCATCGTGACCAAATTTCTGAGCTGAATTCTTCATGCCTTTCTGCCACGCCATCGATCGGACACCACATTTTGACCTGACAGTACATCCGAGAGTCTAGCTAACTAGTCAACGGGCATACAGAGGACGTTACCTGGTCAGCTTAATCCTCCACTTTGGGTCTTGAATCAAGCCTTTTTAAGTGCATCACAGATAACTTCTTTTGTCCATATCGGTTAGTAATTCGCCCGAAATGACTTACATCGCTCACTTACCCCCTCCCCTTCAACATCTTCCTGAACCCAACGCGAGCAAAGTGTTTCTGCTCGATATGATTCCCATAGATTCGCCGATCTATCTTCCTGACTGGTGATGGACTCTGACGACAACCGCATTCGACATGGTTTTGTGCCTCCGATACTGTCTTACGTAGCACGTTTAGATCCACATTTGTCGATCGTTACACTTGTCCTTGTAAAGGTCTCAAGCGCTTAATGTGAAGGTAGTCGAAATATTACTCACATCGCGAGTGTTTCAGTGTCCATTGGCATCATGCTTTAGCAACCCATCGACCTTAGTGATTTTTAACTTGGCGACAGTCAAACTGTTTACCCCACTTGTTCACTGACCGTGTATTTACAATTCATCACCGCACCTAATGAAGATAACTTGCTGTGGTCATACCCTTGAGGGCTGCCTATGTTTCAACAACTTCCAGCGCATACACTCACGTTTCCACTGTCCCGGTGACTTATGCAGTGTCTGCTTAGTTGTTTTCTCAGCCCCTTGGTTTGTTTCAAACAGGAATCATCGTCATATGGTGATCGACGTTTCTTCCATTCTTGTGTCACATCAATCTGGGCTTTCCGAACAAACTACTGACCCAGGCCTGTTGTGATACGACTATCTCTCGGGTTGCATCCACCTTCAGTAGTTCCGCACCCTCTCTCCTAAACAATGCAACAAAAATGCCCCACTTCTATTTTATTTCGTGCACCCTAACATCTCATCAGCCGACACTGTCTGCGCTCTGATTAATGTAGTAAGAATGACTGAAAATGGTAACTACGTACGCATTCCACGGTGCCTCATCGACCCTTTGGGGAACAAACGCCTCGCATTAAACACAACTCCTCCTTTTTTATTTCTATTTCAGAAGGTCATTGTAACATTAGATTCTTTCTCACTTAAGTTCGCCATCTGCACAGCTCTTCGCTTTGCTACCATTACTGTTTGTTCTATTTCTTTTATGGAACTTGTCATCTATGGTCGTTGCATCCTTTCGTCTAGCTCCGGTCCCCTACACTTACTGTTAACTTCCTTCTCCGCGTTTTTGCAGTGGGCCGCTATGTGCGACAAGGCTCGGTAGCCACGACAATGTCGGATAAGAGTCGCGTATCCCCTCGCAAAAGTGTCTCGCAGTCCCAACGTAAGTATACCTCACCAGCTGTTTCAAAACACATTTCGCTCGCTTCAATTCCCCACCAGCCTGCTTGTATCATGGTGTTTCAATATGCCCCTGACTTTTTATTTCAACGGATGCACTCTTATTTCCATTGATTCGTGTGCTCACCCACAAACCTCCTCCAGCAGCCATACACAAGTCATGCATTGGGCCTTACTCTTCCACGACTATGGTTGAGAATCAGTGCATGGTTGTTGATTTCTTGGTCGCCACTGGGCTGCGCATTGTCCCCGATTTGAGACAACCTTGCTGGACATCCTCATGTATATCCAACTCCGAGGATTTCGTCAGGTCTGCTTTGGAAGTCCCTTCATCTTATTGTCCCTCACCAAATACTATCTCTGGTATGGGTTTTGTTGCCGTTCCCTTGTTCGACACTCATTTCTCCTTGATGATAGTCATCCGTTCTTAATTCTTAATTTACATTTTTCACCTAATTAACCCCACCTAAAGTATCCCTATTTCAAACATCCGCTCACTTTAGCCACAAGTCGGGAAGTCTCGCCATCTAGATTTCCTCACACCTCGTATGGTGTGAGCATCGATCGACCACTCTATAATCCCGCTGGGTACGCTGGTGGAGCCGTAAGACAGGATCAACAGTCAGCCATGTCTACTTCGAACAGGATCCCTCGTAGCCAAGGCACTAGCCGGGAGCCGTCTCCGGCGAGGTCGATTACCGGTGCTTTTCCCGTACAGAATCACTCCACCTCTGATCAGCGATTTGGCGGGCGCGGACCGAACTTCTCTAGTGTTCGTAATCGAGGACGACGTACGTTTTTCATGTATATTTTACCTTTTTCTTCTATCATTATCCTCATTCAATTCGTATGCGTTCGTTAACCACACATGTGTGTGCCACTACGTGCGCTCTTCCTGTAAGTAACCTTAATTCCCGTTTCCCGTTTGAACCTTCAAACACAGTGGCAGACAAGCTCCGTCTTCTTCATCATTTCATATCCTATGAAATTAGTTGCTGTTACTCGGCCCAATTATTTTCCGACATCTCATTCTCTTGTTCACGCCTCGCTGGCCATTACTCCGTTTAGTTGCTCTGCCTCTGTTTCGTCGGGTGCTACCCTAGAGATTACATAGAATTCTTTATTTTATCCGCAATCAATATCTTGCACATGGTGTATTTAATCTGGCGAATTTTGGTGCTCTACACTTTACGATTATTGTAATCTTTTTCTTCCTACAGCGTCCTTCAGTACGATGAGCGATTGCGGTGATTCTGCTGATCCGGTAGGTTTCTCAAGTCAAGTCTAACTGGGCTTTATGAACCCGACTGTTAACATTTTCAGCACTTTTTGCACTATCACTGCGGATGTATTGAAGCATAACATGGACGATTAATTGCAATTAAAGCGTAAAAAGAAGAAACCATGCATTCACATCACTCAATTAAGCGTTCACGCGTGGTGCTAATAAGTTTTTTAGAGTCCACAAGAACACGGTATAAATACGGTAAGCTTGAGTCGTGATAACTTGTTGTGCGAGAAAACAAAACTCTAAATTTAGGGCGAGTAGACGAACGGAATAGGGTTTTAGGTGAATCAGCGTGAAGGGTTTGAAAAGGGTCATTTAAAACATTTACTGAAAAGTTGTCGCATACACTAAAGTGCTTAATGAAATCAACCAGACACTCTGAGCAGTCCACAACACTTGGAATGTAGCTTAATGGAACGCACTGTGAATGTGAAATCATTTTGTAGAAGACCAGGAAAAGGGGTAGGCGAGCAATATAACCAAAGGGGAAGAATACAAGCAATCACGAATTTGTAAATTAAAGAGCAGGGTACTAATAGCTTTTTGAGTCTGAGGGCATAGAATGATAATCTTCGCACTTGCGGAACGTTTCGTCAACGTGTGTTGACCGAGATAGATTGTGAGATAAATGTACACCAAAGGTACTTAACAGTGGACGAACTGGGCATATTGTGATCCTTTACAACCATGGGGGGGGGGAGAAGTGTTTGCCACAAGCAGACGTTTGTCAGTGAGGAAAAAAGAGAAAGTGAGATCGCGGCATTTGGAAGCGTTGGGAGTATGGGATCGGGACGGCGACCACTGTTGAAGCTTGTCCAGACAGATTTGTAAATCGGTTGATGATTCAGTAGTTGGAGCAATGCTACCTAAGACTACGTCGTCAGTGTACTTACATCCAATAAAATTAGGGTGAATTGGAAGCATTTCGGTGAGTAGAGTGAGAAGAAGAGGGGAGTGGATTGCATCATGTAGGCCCAGCCATCACTAAGAGTGGGGGATTTTTTTACCGTTTAGCTGGGTAAAATGAGATCGGTTTACGAACTCGTTGCTCATCAGGTTGCACACTGTTGGCTGGACACCGTTCGCCGACAGCTGCTTAAGCAAGATGGATCTGTGGACACTGCCAAAAGCGTTGACATGATCAAGGAAGAGGAGCCGCATCTTCTTGCATTTCGCATCCAAGATATGCATCCAACGTGGAACGTCGGGTCTGTATGCAAACTGAGATACGACCACGCCTGGAGTGCTTGTTGAGACCCAAGACATAAACAGTCGCTTGAAGACTTTCAGCATGACGGATGTACAACCGATCGGACGGAATTTCGTGGATCCCTCCTTGGGCACTGGCATTATCCTGACAGGCCTCCAAACATCTGGAATAATTCCACTGTGTAGGCATCGATGAAAATCATCCGTCAAGGGCATGGTGTGGGTATTAGCACACTTTCAAGGCAACTGATGAAAAACCATCGGGTCCACTAGCCTTCTTTGAGTTCAGATTCCTGAGTACACGGTTGAATTCAGAATGTAATTTTCGGATCAGAGCCAGAGCAAAAAGGCAGAGAGAATGAAAGGGTGGTGGATGCTGCCTGTGAAAAGGAACTGAACTCAGAATTGAGTTTCTGTTTATTCATAGATCCAATCTGCTTATTTGAGCTTCTATCACGTAGATGCTTTAAGTTCTCCATTGGTCTCGGCAGTTATGGTTGCACAAAACGACTTTGATGTATAAATTATTCAGTCGTGAAATCTCTGTTTTAATTGCTAGAGTGTTGTTTAACACAGGTACTCATTTTACTGTTGCAGGCTCGTTCTTTTTTCCTTCTAAGTTGTTTGAGCGATGGTGAGGAGAATCTATTGACTCGTAAGTAGATGGTTTCGATGGGGCAGCAAACATCGAAGCAAAACTTAAGATAATCAGTGAAATGGTCACACTGAACAGACAGATCTTCGTTGTGGTAAACTGTAAAATCAGTAGAAGTCAGCATTTCCTGGAGATGCAATATTTGAGGTTGAACAATCTCGTCGCTTCACAGTTTTGATGATCTTAATAGCCAATGAGCCGGAGTACGTTTTACCATAAACGACGGGGTACACTTTTATGATACAATGATCAAAATTACCGAGTGGGGCACATTTCTGTGCGGAAAACGGCCAAGCATGATTTGTGAAAACGAAATCTAGTTGCTCTTCGAATCTGATCTGAAAGCTCATTATATTAGTCAAATCAAGTGCCTGGATGAAGGAGGTATCAATTCTCTTGAAGTTCCCGGCGATGACACAGACTGAGTGGTCCCGTTTAAGTAGTAACGCCGAGGATAGATCATCCGTACAAGTTTTCAACTGATTCTTGTGTGTTGGGCGATAGGTATACATTCCCAATAATAACAGAATTAAAACCACTCAAAACTTTTGGCTTACATTCAAGCAAATGGCAGCTGATTGCGACAGTTGTGTAGGTACAAAATATGGATGAGTTACACTAGCATTGATGGACCTAGGTGATGACACCCCCCCCCACGATTTTGAGACATTCCGTGGCGGTCGAATTTGATGGGAATATAACCAGCAAGTTGAATAATATTGTGTTCTACATCAGCATCTAACCAGCTTTCTTGAAGCATCAAAATGGCTGCATTCGAATATTCAGTTTGCTGTATAAAAGCGGTAAGATGCGCCATTTTTCCAAGGATTGATGAAATATTGTTAGACGAAATCAGTGGGATTTATAGCTTGTCAACTGAGCGACGTCTAAGACTTACTTGTCAGCCAGCACGGTGTTTTCTCAATTTACAAAAATGTTTCCGCATGACACTTTTAAAAACGTTGCATACTTGGTGAGCATACTGAATAACTACTTGTATGGGGAGCAGTATCGAAGGAGGTTTCAAAATGTTGACGGAATAGGACAACATCGATGTCAAGAAGTAGTCCAAATAAACAAACTGGCAAAAGTGATTTGGACGAATCCGCAGTAGCTAGAGTAAAAAGGATCTCCAACGAGAAAAGCAATGGCCAATTTGAAGGCTCCGCCACTTTGTCTTGGAACACCTAAACTTCAGCTATGTCCTTTTCGATTCAGCCATTCTCTTATTAACCTCTTGCGAATATAAATCCTCTTGGAGATCTCAGCCGTTTTAAACTGGAATTAGACACTTAAATATATATTGTTGGTGTTTTATGTGAACTAGCGCCTCACTACATCATGTCTGTAGTGTCACCTTGTAATTTTCTTCGTTTCGGTTTACTTCATCGACCATAATGCACAAATCGAAGATCAGTTGCTTTGAATCATGTCACAACATAGATGGGAAAGGTCGTGAAATCGGGTTGTAACAGAGCAGCAGAGATAACATTAAAGTCGTCAGATGCAAGAGGATGGCTTATCGTAGGAGGAAGTTTGTTTATGTCAGGAGATAGAAGATGGTGAGACAATGACATCGTTGATTTCTCACTGCTTACTTGGATTTGTTCTCTTCTTGTCTTTGACTTGTTAGCCTCACTAACAAGGTATTGGAATAAATGGCGTAAGGTTTCCTGATCCACAAGTGCCATCCGGCTTGATTCAGTGGATCACGACAGCGTGCAAATTCTCGCGTCACACTCATGATCGGCATTGAGTAGCAGTTTGTTGGCCAACATGCATTGTTTGATAGCTCTTAGCCAATTAGCTCTTTAGAGTTGTATTTGGTAATTCTTCGTTTCTTCGACCGTGCGCTGCGTGTAGCATCACTTAGTGTTTGCGCATTCTCTGACTCTTTTTCATCCACCCTGTTTCTCGGAATTCACTGACATTTCCGTTACCTTTGCCTGCAACCGTCAGTTTTTGAACAACGGCCGTCACACCTTCGAGTCGGATGATAACTTCAGTGAGACGTCTTCACAATGTTCTGACAGGTCTGGTCGTTCCGTCCCGGCATTTTATCGGCAACATCCAGCCCGTGTAACCGATGTGAGTTATCTGGTTGTCTGTGTGGTATCGATACACCAGTGCAAACCGCTTACGACACTATATACCTTAGGTTTGTTACAAGTGTCATAAGTGCGTTCACTGTTCTTACTTTCAGCTTCTTGATTTCTTCCTTGCCCTCCGCACTACCGGCTATTCGTTTTACAATAAATTGCCCCATTCAGTGCGTTTACTGCTCTGACGCCTTAGTTATCTGTGGTATGTAACCATAGGTCATAGCAACCACTCTGTTCTCCCACCTTTTGGCTTGTTGCCGAGCCACCTTCAGTTTGCCTCATGTTCTTTGCCGCGTGTTTTTATCCTCTACCACAGTTTGTGTGAGCGGAAAATTGTTGTCGGTCTGTACGAATGTAAGGTTTTACTTGTTTCACATTTTTTCTTACTCCAGAATCTGAAAGAGATCATCACTCAGCTTTCCAGCAGTCAATGGTCCGATCGAAAGGATGGGCTAGTCAATCTTCAGAGTTACATGCGCTGCGGCAGTTCTTTCAGGCAAGTTATCAGCATACCTACCATTCGGTCATGTTCTTCTCTTCTTCCTCGTTTTCTTTCATCCTTTGCGCTCTCTACTTGTACAGCCCGGATGACATTCGTCGTTTGACAGAGATTTTCGCAAAAATGTTCGCCGATTCCCAGAGTAAAGTAAGTTTATGTTTCTGCTTGGGTATATTTACTCATCCTCGCTAGGTTCCTTACCGACTGTCTCTTTGTTTTTTCCCCGGATCCTGCCAGTTTCCGAAATCATCATCCTCTGCGTTTGTTATTCGACTCCATCTTTCCTACGGCTGTGCTTTCACAGGACCGTGACATTGTCATTCTTTTACCCCCTGGTTTCTGGGCTTTGTTTTACTCTCTGTTTTCTATACAATTCCACTGGTCTCAATGGTCTGTTGACAATGGTCCTTTGACATTTCACTCCCGTGCGTACACCTGGTAATATTGATTCCGACGTTGCATTGCTATGCTTTTAGTTCCACTCCCTGTCTGGTAAACCGCCCACGCGTTATACGTTTCTCTACCGCACACCAGGATTACCTTCGCATGCACTGTGCTACGTTCATAAGGTTCATGTTTATGCTAAATTCAGTCGCAGTTTTTCGCCGCGCACTCTGCCATTTTGTGTCCTTTTTGGATCGGCGAATCACCGCGCGGCCTCACTTTTCGTTCTGGGCCGCGTTGTTGCGTCATTGCTAGTCGAAGGTATTGTTAAGGAATTTGATATTCCATACCCCAGGGTTCCGATATCCATCTTAACGTTGGAACACCACGTTTATTTGCTCTTCCTCCTTGTAAAACGGTCACTTCTTGAACCCACCACGTTTCACCCAGTTTGGGACTTTTATTTCGTCTTAAACTTTAAGCGGCCTAAAGTTATATGCAGTGACTCCGTTTACTCTCTGTCCGTTATATCACACTCAACATCGCATGCACTGTTCATCCTAAACTTCTGCCTCGTCTCTTCTCCTCATCTATTGTGTAGCTGATCGTCTATTGCTTTATTTACCTTTTTAAAAATCATTCAGGTGGTCAGCCTTTTCATGGACGTTTTACAGTTCTTCATCAAAGAATACAGTCCCGCATTGCGTGATTGGCTGTACACCCTTCTTATACGACTCTTGAATCGCCAAGGAACAGAAGTTCTGGGCAGTCATCAGAAGGCTATTCAAGAGACCTTGTTCGTTCTACGGTACGCCTCTCAATGAATCGTTATGATTTCCCTTGGTTTTGCTCTTCGTATTCTTAGTACACTTATACTTTAGTTTGGAATGAATTTTTTATCCTCCACTTTTCCCGTATTGCACAGACTTGAGGTTGTCTAATGCACAGCGTTTAATCCGCTTCCACGGTTGCGCACTTCTCTTTTCTCTCTCTCCCTTTCAGATCTCACTTCCCTCTGCATTTGCAATTTGTCACTTGCTGCCGTTTTATCATGGACAATTCTCAAGCTCCAAATATGAAAGTAAAAGTGTGTCTGCTGGAGTATTTAAAGGATCTCATTTTGATGATGAGTCCAGATATGGTGTCTTCTCTCACCCCGGAAACATGTTCGGCGATATCACGCATCATCACGTGGTCTGCCGAGCCAAAGTCAGCAGACGTGAGACGGGTGAGTGCATTTTTTATTCCTTGCTGTGTGTATGCTTCATATCTCTTAAGGAATTTGGCAATCGATCCTAACGACCCAAGTATTTTGCCATATGAGTTATCTGCCAGAGCTGCTTTCAACACACGTGACAGGGTTTTGCTTTATGTCTACCCGTTTATCGCTCATGGCCATCTCCTTCACCTTTTACTGAGCACATTGTGTTCGTTATTTGCACATCGTATTTAGTTTACTTGACTGCTTTTATACTTCATTTTCCCTTTACTTCCGTATAGTGTTGTACAACCCTCTATGCACTTCTACAACCAAGGGGGCCATTCCAGATGTAATTGTTGTCCCCGTTAGTGTTAGTTACCTCGTATCTATTGGCGATGAATTACTTCTAGGCTTGCATTTCTCCTTGAGTCCCCTTCTCACCTCCTATCTGCTGAACTATGTGTATTCTTTCGCTTAGGATCCAGACCACGAATCCCCGTGCTATTCTCTGCCAGCCCTATGTGCATTGTCAAACCTCACCTTGATGAGCACAATACTCATGACAATAGTGAACGTTCTTTGTTGCGTCCACATAATGCTAACTGACTGTACTCCATCGCATCCAATCTGTGTCACCACGTTTGTCTTGTTTTCATTTCACCTGTGAATAGGTTAAGCATAACACGCTCGTATGAAAGCTTCCCGTTCGACTGTCTCGCATCACTGTGCACATCAGTGCCTCATCCTCTCAAACATGTGGCCGATTTGCTACTTCCCATCTTGCACATTGTCTCGCTCACTCAATGCGTTCCCCACCGGTGCAATTCACAACACTGACTGTGCTATTACACTGAATCGAATTGGCGCTCCAAGGTTATCTTACATTGAGATGCTGTGCACCATATTGGATGAAGGGCATCAGCAATATGTCGGTACTTCGTACCAGCACTTCGCTGTCACGCGATCGCCACCCATCGCATGTGGGGGTAGTGATATTGCAACATCGCCCGCCCGCACCTACACAATCTGGAACCGAGATTCCTTTTTGGGTTTTTAAACAGACGTCTGAACCGATCCGTCACCAGCCCAGCAGTTTTTTATCACCTTGTTTACACATATCCACCACTAAACACCATCTAATCATGCTTTTTGGTTGAACTCGGTGTGATGCTCGCCCGTTGGCATCAAGCAACAATCTCTGCCACGATACTTCACCGCGCTTACTAGGCCACATTATGCCTGTTGATCAATATCTCGACTTTTACCTGACTGGAGGTTTTGAGTCATCAGCGATTCCGTGTCGAACATTCACGATGATAGTACCGAATGACCAGTTCAGGTTGGTGCGTGGCACCTTAAATTGGTCATTGAGATCATCAACCACATCAGCTGTTCGGAAAATTTTACAATGTCGCTTACTTACTCTATTTCACCTGCTCCTTGGGCACATCCTGTCTTTCTAGTAATTTTGACATATTTCTCCCTTGCTAATTGGAGGGGCATTATGAATCACAAGTTGTTTGCTTGGATTGCGACGCGCTACCTCAATGTGGACAGTGGTTCGCTTTGAAGTGAACCTTCGTCATTTCGATCACCAGAACCGTAGCTGATGAAGCGGAAGCAAATTGGGTGTTACCCGTCTGAAAACACTGCACTCCAGTGCAGTGTAGTGTTACTGTTATTATTATTACTATTATTATTATTATTATTATGAGTGAAAGCAACTAGGCTCACCGCACTTGTGTACCTCGATCTCGTTTGGGTTGTTGAAGTGCATAATGCACTTTTTTATCGAGAAGTCAAATGCTACCAAGGGTATACTCGGATTGGGGGTGTTTGTGGGAACCCGGTCACACAATTATGGACAAAGTGAAGTTATACCGTAGCGCTGTTGACGGGGCGGGCGAATCAGTTGTGGAGATCGATTCTTTACGTACATTTTAGTCCTATTCGAATCTAGTCTTTCTCTGGATCTACGGTTCTGGGAATATTCCCATTTCTTGACCACTTAGGTCCTCTGATGCTAATTCTTTCCGTTACCATCGCTGTTTACAATTTGCAGTTATGCGTGGAAATGGCGAACAGAGACTAATCGAATGAGTCGGAAGTTATGCGTTTTACTTTTTAACTAAGTAAGTTTAGAGTTGATTATGTCATACTGAGTGGATTCTCTAACTTCTCATGCGGTTGACCGAACGGCCTCGCTCACCTGCACAACATTCACCGAATCGATTACGCTTTTCGGTTGAAAGAGAGGAAATGTAGGATTGTCCAAACGTTGACAGGGTCATCAACTACCGTTTGCACCCATATTCATGACTGCTTCCAAGAACTTGCTCATTATTATATTGGATGAAGTCCACTATCTCCCTGCCAATCCGGAGATTGCGTCTCTACGCAGTCTGGAATTTATGGATGCTCACCGTCATGTTCCGGCTGGAGGCGAATTCAATCAGACTCGCAAACACCTCAGGGCAAAGCTGCGTGCTGACCTGAAGAGAGACCGCGAAGCGGGGTAGTCTCATCGTGCATCGGAGATGGAGACAGATGCTGCCATTGGTAATCATCAGAGGTTATTCCATTGGTACGAGAAACAGGCAGCAGGAGACCTGCTGCTAGCGTGACCATATGCGACGAAAGTGGGCAGCCCATCCACAGTTTGTCAAAACGCTTGGAGCGTTGGACCGAACACTTTGAGAAGCAGTTCAATCAGTCAGAGTTGCCAGCTTTCCCTTCCGCCAGTAATCGCCCTACTCCTTGGACCTTCACTGTGGATCTGCCTTCTCGCTTTGAAATCGAACGAGATCAGACGGCTGGAGTTGAATAAGGCCGCTGGAGCAGATGGACTTCATCCAGCCCTCTTCAAATTCGGGGTCCCAATCTTTTGGACGATTTACATGACCTACTGGGGAATCTATGGGAGCAGGAGACTATCCCGACAGAATGGAATCACTCCGGTATAGTCCCAATTTTCAAGGGAGGCTCCCGTTCGGAATACGACAGCCTCAGAGAAATGAGTCTGAACTCAATTGCTTCTAAGTTGCTTGCCTCTGTCGTCCTCCATCAAGTAAGTGGCGCTCTTGTAAGCTAGATACGCGAGGAGCAGGCCGGGTTCCGTCGAAATCAAGGCTCCATTGACCACACCTTCACACCCCGTCAATTGTGGAACACTCCTGTGTTTATTGGCGATCCACCGTAGCCGTGTTCCTCGACAACAAATGGGCTTTCGTTTCGGTTGGTTGCTGTGCCCTTTGGAACTGCTTAATGATGAAAAGTATACCCAAGAAATTTGTAAATGTTACAAGAGAGCTGTACGCTTATAGTTCGGGCAGACTGATGGTTCACGGCAAACTTTCGCCGCACTTCCATGTCTCCATCGGTATGAAACAAGGTCGCCCGCTGTCACCTTTCCCCTTTAACTTCACCATTGACGAAATCATGGAAACGGCGTTCGCTGAACATGACTTAGAAGGTTTTGAGCTGCTCCCTGATGAGCAACTTCTTGACTTGAAATATGTCGACGATATTGCCTTCATCTGTGATAGCTCCCGAACGTGCCAAGATGCGCTGGATAAATTAGCTTTGACAGTCAATCGTTTCAGGCTATGCTTAGCACCGTCTAACTGCACAGCCCTTCTCCATACTTATCAGGGACGCACTCCTGCGCTGACCCTTCGTGATAATCAGCTCGAAGTTGTCCCGAAATTTAAATATCTGTTCAGCTACATCAGCGCCCGTGGGATTGATGATGAGGTCACGAACACTGTATAGCGAAAGCTCGGGGTGCTTTTGCCAGTCTCCGCAACCACTGGCGCCGGCGTGACATCACTCTCGCTTTGAAGGGCAGAGTTTACAATACGGCCGTCCGTTCATCCCTACTGCACGGTTGCGAAACCCAGCCCATTGGATCAGCCGACATAAAGAGGCTAGCCACGTGCGACGATCGCTACTTTCGCAGGGTAGCTCATGTCTAGTGGGAGCACCTTGTGAGCAGTGAGCTTGTACTGCGTCGCATATTTTGTGCAGGATAAACGAGTAAATTCCTGAGCACCGTTATATCACGCGCCACGCTCCGATGGTTGGGCCACGTATTGCGCATGCCAGCACACCGACTCCCACGAGTTGGGTGTGGATGAAAGGTGGGGAGGCCAAGGGATGACTTGGTCGTGAGGAATGGGGTCCGTCACTTCGAAGTTGGCTTCGGTTAGTGCCTACCTACTGCCGGGCTGGGGTCCGAACGACCATGAACACGTTTGGTTGGGTACACTGGTTGACCTAGGGACGATCTGGCTTCGATGGCGTTTGTGTTCTGATTTTCTTTGTCACTATCCCTTTCACTCTTTTTCCCCTCCTATCACGATCTTACTGTCGTTGCGTTGTGTGATACTAAGCATCATATTTTGTTTTTTTTGTTCTATTATTGGTTTCTTATCTTTCCTTATTGCGGCAAAGGATCTTGTATTTCCCATATTCTGCTTATCTATTGCTACTGCTGATGTTGGCATGAGGAAGTCAAGAAGGACAGGGTTAGGATTATCTCTTGCTCTTTTTTCTATTGCCGTACACGCCTTTGATAAGCGTTTCGTGGCCTTGTAATGTTTTATGCAGTTTTTTCGTTGTCTGTATATTAGCTGTGTTGTTTTTAGGCTCTCAAATCTTTGGATATCTTTGTGAATTCTTTACATATTCCATTGCGCGCACGCTAGGGACTAACTCTTCCTACTTCACAAAAGCGACTAAGGTTCACACTGCGTAACCTGGCACCCACCGAATTCCTCATTGACCTGGAACCAAAGTTGTCATCTTACTATCAGCTGCGGACGGCGCACATCTGTCTAAATCTGTCGTTCAGTTTGGAGCACGTGCCTGGATTGTGGCCATACTCTAATGCGAGAAGTCCTGGTGCTCTCTTCCCGCACATGGTTTTTAACTTTATTATTTGTAACTTACGTTCACAGTCTGCGGTTCGACAATATCATGATGAACTGGTCCACTTATCGTTAGTGATGATGTTACTGAGGCGAACG